CAGGGACTCACAGAAGTTTACTTACTATGAGTCCACTGCCCGCCTTCAGACAAGGTGCCTAAGCTTCAGACAACTCACAAGTAAACATGGAAAGCCAAATTGGTTAATATTAAATCCATCTCAGAGCCACTTTGTAGTGGTCTCCAACATCTTTCCTCATACACTATGCCACCAAAATCTCTAAATTCCCTAAAGCTCAAAATTACCAATATCACAGCCAGTGCTAGGAGTCATACCTGAAGATAAAAGCAGAGATGTTCCCCTCTGCCGGTGCTAGATCTCCTCTTCGCAGTAACAATAATAATCATAATAACAATAATAAAAAATCCTGGTTCTGTCATCTGGGAAAAAGATTGTCCCTCCCTTCCCCAGTTCTGTCCCCACATCCCTCCTTGAGGGTCGTCCCTGTGAGGCCATCTAGGGGTGCTGTGGAGGGCACTTGGCAACCATCCCCAATAAGCCAGGAGGAGGACAAGATGCAAATGGGAAGGTGCTTGCACATGGGGCCCCAAAGGCCCTCTGGGAACATGCCACCAACCTAGAGCATTCCAGCACTTATCTTAAGTCCAGTCATCACTGAGCCATGCCCTGGCCCTGCCTGAGTCCCATGACACTGAGGCTGCATGGGGGTCATGCTCTTTCACAGTCCATCAATAATTTGCTCAGTATGTCCATGCTCTGGCCAGAGCCTCTCACCACAGCCCAGGCCATTCCAGCCAATGTAAGAATCAGTGCTCCTGATTCTCCTGTGTGATCCCGGTCACCAGAAGCAGGTTGCAGGCCATGAACTGCACACTCAGGAAACTGCTCCTCTGATCTGCCCAGAGTAGACATCCACGAGCTCACTGGAGGAGCCAGCCACCTGCAGACGTGCTATAGCATGTGTTCCAGAGGTCCCAGATGCACCCTGAGTTGTCCATGGAGGCAGAGACCACTAGGCCACTGTCAGGGCTGAAGGCAGGGCTGGTGGTACTATCTCTGGCCTTTCAGCTCTTTGAAAAGTGTCCTGGAGGCCAGGTTCCGCTGGTCCTCGCCAGAAGATATCAATTACTTCCCACTGGGAGAGAAAGCCAGAGAAAGCAGGGGCCATGGTGGCCTGTGAAGAGCCTCACTGAGTTCCCCTGCTGGGCGCTCCGCAGCCAGACAGTCTTGTCAGTGGTGAGCCTGTGGCTAAGCAGAGTTAGGGTGGAATCTGACACAGCCACATCTGCTAGGTTTCCTGCATATAACCTCAGTGGGTACATCTGATCAAAGAACCACAGGCTTGTGGTGCAGTTGTGGGACCCACTGGCAAAGTACAGGCTACAGGGGCTAATGTTCAGGTCCCACACAGGATAGGTATGTCCTTGGTTCAGCACAGTGTTGGGTGAAATTCCCCAGATTCAGTACCGGATGGACATGTCCTCAGAACAAGAAAGCAACCCTGAGTTGTCTGTGAGGAAACGTATACTGTACACTGGTCCAGTGTCCTCACAGGATCTTCATTTCTGTGCCTGGGCTGTCCTCCTTATCCTCCTCTTCCTCCAGCTTACCACAAGTCAAGTGGATACGTGACGTGTCTATGAGGTGGGGCTCTGATTTCAACTTCTTGGACTACAAACTCTGGAGTTTTATCAGGAGTTGCCAAATCCACCAGCAAGCAGCTTACTATTGGGGGTAATTTCTTCAGTGTTTAGCAACTGCTCTGTGTTGCAGAGGTATAGAAGCAGATAGCGGGGAAATCCTGATAGAAATCCAGCAGGTAAAAACCATGCTTGGGAGGTTTCTGCTTAAAGAAGGACTGCAGTGGCTGTTGGACTCCAGATGATGTGTGTGATGGCTTGGCAGAAAGTTTGCATTTTGCTCATGTCCAGAGACATTGCCTGAGACTGAGATTAAGGGCGGTAGACTGATTAATCTGGCAAAAGAAATTTCAAGGCAGTTGAATGTTGAGGCGGTAGCATGGCTACTGTTGGGGTCTTTTAGCCAGATTTATGCTGAGAATCAAGAGCAAAGAACCCAGCAGGATGATTTAAAACATTGTGAATTTGACCAGAAGGGAAGCTCCAGTGAAGCTGTGGACTACAACGACAGAACAGAGGAGATCTCGGTTGCTGGGAAGGAACAGGAGAATATAAAATATGGCTTGAGGGCAGCACAAGAAGCAGCAAGTCCCCACCCTTTGCAGCTGCAAAACCACAAAAGTGAAAGACTTGGCTTGGAGGAGAAAGTTGCAGAGCACCGTGTTGCAGAATGGTGGCAGTCACACTATGTTCCAGAATGGTGGTGGCCTAGAAAATT